CCATTTTTATACCTTTTTTGTCCTTGTTTGTCCGTCCATGAACACCATTCTGTTTTGTTGTGAGCATGTTTTTAGTTTGTCTAAACTAAAAGATTGTTGTAGTATTGTCGCAGATAAGAGTGTACATACGGCAATTTTAAAGTAAATGTTTCCAGTGACAACTTCAGTTAAATAACATTGGATTTAGTTGTTCAGGACCAAAAAAACCCTCCCCAAAATCCAACCCTGAGAGCCAACTATGTTCATATTGTCTGGTTTTCTGTATGATAAGTAGTATGTTTGCTACCTTACAAGACCAAAATTGGACTCTTGTTTTTAGCACAACCTAGTAACTACAGATTGAACCTCTCTAGTCAGGCACTCTCTGGTCCCGCAACCTCCTGGCATAATTTTAGTTAGCTTGGATGCCCACCTACCAAGGGTATGGCCAAGCTTCTTGGGTCCCGTAAAGTTTGACCGTCCCCAGTACTTGCTCTGTGTTCTGTGCTGTTATTTAGCTCTAATGTATTCCTAAATGTCTTTTAAGAGCCTAGTAAAAAGTGGAAGTGTTGGTAATGCTGTTAGGCAAACTTCCTTTGGTTTTGCAAATTCTCTGGTTTGGCACCAGTTGGGTTCTGAGGTGCTGCACTAGAGAGGTTTTAATCTTCTGTAGGCTGTTTCTTGAGAGTTGATTTCTCTAATGGCTGCAGGTATAGCATATTCCTAACTTTGGTTATTTTGGAATAGTTAAATGTATTGATATCTGAATCAGTAGTTCTGTCTGTTTTCCCCCCACAGATGCTGGTGTGGGACCTATCAGAAACCAACCCATGCGGGGTGGTTTTGGTACTGGAAGGAGTTTTGGGAACAGAGGTGATTTTGTATTACCTAAAGTTTTATTCATATCAATTCTTAATTTGGAATTAAAAACAAAGGCCTGGTACTAGTGTCCTAGAACTTTTGCTCTTAGAAATTGATTTTTTTTGTACTTGTTTAAATAAATTGGTCCTTGCTGATTAAGAGCAAGAGAAATTTAACTTGCTTTGTAAACTTGCTTTGTAAATGTCTTAAGGATGGCCATTGGTAGAGTGATTTCCTTTAATGGGAAATAGATCTGATTGGTTCCTTGTTGCAATTGAAAGGTTGATTGTGGATATTTCTCATCCTGACAACATATTTCAAAGGAATTTCATAATTTCCAGTGTTTTATAATTTGACATTTAATGAAAACCCATGCAAACCAATAATATATTCATAATTCATGTTCAATAGATCAAGACTTTAAAAATAGTTCACATATTGTTCTTGGTACAAAATAATTATATGGTAGAGATGAACATAGCAGTTCTAGGGTGCTACTTGTACGTACAGAGTATTGTGTGTGTGTGTGTGTGTGTGTGTGTGTGTGATATATAGATATATTGGAAGAAAGCTTCTCTCTCATGCTTTTGTGCAAACTGGTGTGGAAGAGATTAAAGACCATTTTTAAATGTGGGGATAAATTTGAGACCGGTTAGGAATCAGAGTTTTGCCCATATGGAGTGGGGGAAATGGCTTGGGACTAGGGGTGATCAAAATAATTTAATATGGTAAGTGTGTATCCTTTAAAAATCGTAGCAGTTACAGGCGCTGCGGCTCTGTAGTATAAAGCTAAGCTTTATACTGCAGAGCCTGCTGTGATGCCTCCCCAGGAGCACAGCCATCAGCCTCTGCCTGCTGGACGTAGCTGCGACAGCAAAGTCTCCTCCCTGGGAGTGGAGCTGGCAGAGTTTTTATCAGTTGGCTTTTGCATCTAGTAACTTCCCAGCAATTGATGACACAGCCTTAAAAGGGACTATTGCTGTTCTCATGGATAAAGCTAGAGTATGAAAGGTTGAGATTTTTAGAATTAATATCTAAATATGGAGATGACATACCATAGATTTAAGGTATGACTTAAAGATGGGTTGTTTGGCTAATTTGTGTAACTGATACAATTTGTGTTGACTACAGGTTGGACCTCTCTGGTCCAGTGCCCAATGAAGGAATTTGCCAGACCAGAGGAGAGCCCCTGTCATCTGCTCCCCAGATCACCTGCCCCCCTGCTGCCAGCTCTGGCTGCTGCATGCTCCCTCCTCCCCCCTGTGGCTGTGCTGCGTCGGCCCTGCTATTGCAGCTGCTGTCTCTCTGGCCTTGGCTGTGCTACTGGGGCTGTTGCGGTCCCTGCTGTGCTACCAGCCCTCTTGCTACTGGGGTTCCCAGCCAGGACTCTCTGGTCCTGCAACACCTCTTGCCGGACCACAGATGTTGCTAAATGAGGGAGTCCCAGTTTTGGGAGGTCCAACCTGTATGTGATTAGAGGGCTGCCCTGCAGAGCTATAGCAGAGGTAGCTCCTGGAGCTGGCGTGAGCTAGGATTGAGCAATCATGGCTCTCATTGGCTCTGGACTACTAAAGCTCAGCATTTTACATGTAGAAATGCTTTGTCCCAGTAGTCTGGAGCTGGCACGAGCAGGGACTGCTTTGTCCCAGCTCATGCAGGCTCCAGCAGCCCGTTTGTGGCAGCCCGGGCCGGCCACTGTGAACAGGGGCTGCTTGGTGGTAGTAACCTTCCCTATTACTCCCTCTTGCCCTCACTGCTGCCTTTATTGGGCTGGGGATTGAGGGGCAGGCAGCATCACAGAGACAGTGCTGGGATGAACTAGCTTGTAAGCACACTGGCTCCTGTTTGTGTCTCACTTCGCTGCCTCTCATAAGAGACAAACTAAGTGGGTGGGGTGGGAAGGAAGCAAGCAGTTGAATACTCCACTTGAGTACCCCATAAGCTTGTGCTTATTAGGTAGTCAAGTAGTTGACTATTCTCTTAGGTCCCTACGTAAATTGGTCTATACTCTCTTCCCCTCGCTGGTGGGATAGGGAATCATCAGTTTTTAGAAGATGTTGGGATGGCTGCCTTCATTGCCAGGCCAAAATCCAGTGTGATTTGCCTTGGGTACCTCCTATGTAAAAAGATCTAAAAAAGGTCTCCACATTCAAGTTACTCTGATCCTAATATTTTTTTGATGTTTGGGGTGAGTTGCTGTGGTCTGTGCTACCTTTCTGATTCTATGGTAATAACAGTGTTGATTCTTCTACTACAGCTTATTTGTCTGTTCTTTATAGCTGCATTGGGAAATAAATTTGAAGAAAGAAACAACTCTGGATTTCAGAGAGGTGAGCTTGATTTTTCTAGTTCATTTTATAGCATAATTCCCCATCAGCGCATGTATACGTATTGTAGAAATGTCATGCTGAACTGTTTGTTAGCGAGGTGGTTTGATATGATTGTGGCTGATACTTTAGTGTGTAAATATGTTCACATGTTAAATATTTTAGGGAGCAAATTAACTGCTTCATGTGGCATATTTTATAATTGCTATTACAAGTATACCAGTGTTCCCTCTTGAAGCTCTTGTGTTGAGACTTCTATGATGACACTGTTTTCATATCTATGAAAGCTTTTCATTGAAAGAATAGAATATTAATGCACATGGTAAAATGCAGTGTTAACTGGTCTTGATCTGAACAAAAAAAGGTTAATATGTCCAAGGCTGAGGGTACAGTTTAGCAATAAACTTAGAGAGAGCTCCCCCTCTCAGTAAAATGTAACCTCTTAGGAAAAACATGCCTTAATTGTTGGTCAGAGAAAAGCATAAAATTAAGCTAATGGTTATCAAAAAATATTCTTAATGTTTAAAGGTTAATGGTTGAGATTGTGGTTCAGAGGAATTTGTTCGGTGGTTAAGGTCTTGTCTTTTCTGTCCTGTATGGAATCACATACAGAGGGATTGTAGCTTCATGCTGTAATACTGCATTGTATGCCATTCTTTTCAGGAATTGTCCACTCATTTTTCTGAGTTCTGAACTTTCCTCCAGATATGTTGGTTGTGCCTCTCTTCCTGCAAATAACCAGTGTAGCTCACACATCCTTGCTCTTTCAACTTTTATGTTGGATTCTGTCAGTGGCTGGTAACACTTTGAATTTCTACTGTCCTTACTATTACATCTGACTCTCTTTTTGGGACAGCAGCAAGTAAAATCTTTGCCAAGGGTTATCAGAAAATGCCCTGTAAATAGAAAAATGGACATTCTCTTTGAGGGACTCCAAAGCTTCCTCAGGGATTGACAAGAACCACATATCCTGGTATGACAGCCAAAAGTACAGGGACTTTTTAGAAACATGACTGAATTCAGCATCTAAGCAAATAAATTATAGACTCAAGACTGGCAGCAAAGACCATATCTGTTCTGGACAGTAGATAATAGTTAATATCAAATCCTCTGCTTCAAAATTCTCGGGTAAAATCCTCTATGGATAGAAGCTTAATAAATGTGGTGGTAACCACAACCAAGGACCCAAGCACTCAGCCAACTCAGAAATCTAAGGATTAGGATTACTCGTACTGACAAAATCTTTGTGTTTGTTCTGAGAAGCATGGGACACTGGGTTCAAGTCTTTGTTCTGTCACAGTTCTGATGCAACCATGAGCATATCACTTGGCTATTGCCCTTGAGTTTCTCACCTGTAAAATGGACATAGCAAATTACTGCTATGTTACAAATTGCTGAGGATAAATAGGTTAAAGCGAGAAGCAGTTAAATGGTATGGTAATGGTAGCCTAGTATTTATCTTAAATAGATAACAGTAAGAAAGTTCCAAGAGAAGGCACTCTGCTTTTCTGGGATAAAACCTGTATGGGCAAACTTTGGTCAGAGAATGGATCCAATACCACTTCCGAATCCTACTAAAGTGTGGTTCTATTTGTGTTTATCTCTACCCAGAAGTAGGCCTGAGGGAACGCGTGTTACTCTGTTTAGAGTGTGGTTCCATTTTATTTCAAACAAGTGATATGTGGAGATAGCAGTACTTATGCTGTACATTTTTTCAGACTTTTTTTCCACAGTTCAGGATGATGAAACATGACATTTCCACCTTTTTTAAAAAACAAATAATTCTCCTATATCTGCCTACCCTGCCACCACACACCTTGTAGCTCCTAAATGTAGGAGCAATAAAACTATGCTTTGAGTAAAAATGTTCAAGGGCTCTCCATACTTATTAATACTGATTTTTAAAAAAAACAAACGGGGGGAGGGGAGGGAGAGGCAGTTAAGGCTGCCTAAGACCAACTGATTTTTAGGGGGAAAAGGAGGGAATGTGGGTTTCTATTTTTCTTTCCTGTTGCTTTTTGTTAATCTGACAATTTGAAGTTGGGAGAGCTCTGGATCCTAGAATGAAGAACATGTTAGCTCTTCTTCATGTAGGTTGATCTTTTCACCATGCATGCATCCCAGCTAAGTTCTGCAGGTACCTCTATGGAGTTATTCTATTAGACCGGGGTGGGCAATAATTTTTGCCCAGGGGGCCACTTCAAAATTTCTTGAAGTAGCCCTGGGCCATCCCGGGAGGGGGGCTACCCCAGCCCCATACCATTATTGGTCTGGGTGGAGGAGCCCCTTTGCCCCCCCTTCCACTAGGCACCCATGCCCTGGAAGAGGCTTGGCATGCTCCCCCAGGCCAATCAGGTGGGGGAGTGCGGGAAGCCTCCTCCCGCCCTGTGAGGAGCACGTATCACTTTTGAGCTTCACGCAGCTCCCTGCCCCCAGGCCCTGATTGGCTTCAAAGTGCAACATGCATTTGGCATGGTCGAAGGAGGCTTCATGTGCTCCCCCATCCCCAGGTCAACTGGGGCCTGGGGGAGCATCAGGGCCTCTGCTGGCCCAATCTGGCCCGCGGTGACCCTTTTGCCTACCCGTGTTGGACTCTGAGAACAAGGCTGTGATTTGGCAACTTCATAGATGATTCTGAATTGCCTTTAGTATTTTCAGAAAAACAAGTACAACCTCAATTTTTCGTTAGGGGAAGAAGTCTGTTGTATAACAAATATTAGATGATTACTTTCCATTTCAGATTAAAGGAGAAAACTATGGGTAAACTTAATTATTTTTACATGTTTGGCAACTGATTTTCAACATAAGCATGTGTTCTACAACAGTTGAAACTGAAGAGTAACATTGTAAAAGTGGGTGGTTAGTTAAATTATTAAAGGGAGGAAAAAATCAAGTATATCTGTCAGTGCTTGAAGGTGTTACCTGCACAAGTTTCTTTATCCCTGCCACGCTTTTGGGACATAGGCCTTTACCCAAATCCTAGGGCTTAGGGTGTAACTTCCTGCAGGTCTGTAGGATCTTTTGCCACTGAAAGAGCCTTGCACAGTAATATCCTTACTCTATATTTACAATTACCACGCTTGCAGAATACACATGTTAAGCATACTTTGTCATGCTCACCAATCCTGATACAGGTAGGCAAACCTGCCTGTTGGCCAGGCAGGGTCAGTCTGTCTAGATCCTAGTTGCTGCACATCATGGTTGTGCAGAAGAGTTCTGGCAACTCGGGTCTTTGAGGTGAGTTCTTCTTCCAAGTCTTTATTCCTTCTTGCTGTTCCTTTCTTCCTTTTCTCTTTCCTGCTGGTCTCCTTCTTGGACCCTAGTCTATATAGCGAAACTTGAGTCCTGTTTAGCTATACTGTAACTAATTACTTAAGAATAATTTTACTAACCAGTCATATCATACTGTAACAATTATCTAACCAATCATACCCCACCACCTTAGTTGATTGATGTCTAGCAAAACGAATTATTCAGCAGACAAACAATTGAAAAGCCAACAGAGATCATACAGACAAACGATAGGAAAAAGAGGACCATAATCGTGCAATGAGGATTCACAACCTCAACGATAAACAGTTTATTGTGAGATGGAATACTGTTAAACTAAGTTTTCTTTGACCATCTTGAGATATATTTCTTTATCTGGTGACAGTAGGTGCCATTAGGACAGGATCTTTCTAATAGCCTTGTGTGACACTATTTTAATACAATTAAATATGATGTGAGTATTTAACTACAAGCTTTACAGCTAATGGCTGCTGCTCTTCAATCTAGCTGCAGAGAAAAGCGTTGGCTACAGGAAAAACCATATTGTTAGAGGCAATATACAATTTTTCACTTACTGAAAGCCATCAGTAAGAGAGTCTCTTAGAATGACTTAACACTTTATTCAGGTTTACTCCCACCACTATAGTTGTTATATCCTCTTCAGGACTAATTTCCAGTCCATCTCATGTACTTTGTAAACATGTAACATGCACAATTATAGTCAGGATTTGCAGGAACAATTATGGTAAATGCTATTTGTATCCTCTTCCAGTGCTTCCTAATATTGGGATCTTAATGCAATATGGCTATAGGAAATTGGTTGCAATGCAGTGGCAAAAGCGATGAGGAGTCCTGTGGCACCTTATAGACTAACTGAAGTGTAGGAGCATAAGCTTTCGTGGGCAAAGACCCACTTCGTCAGATGCATATAGTGGAAATTTCCAGAGGCAGGTATAAATATGCAGGCCAGGATCAGGCTGGAGATGACGAGGTGGATCCAATCAAGGAGGATGAGACCCACTTCTAGCAGCTGATCTGGAGGTGTGAATTCCAAGAGAGCAGAAGCTGTTTTTGTAGTTAGCAAGCCATTCACAGTCTCTGTTTAATCCAGTGTTGATTGTGTCAAACTTGAAGATGAACTGTAGCTCAGCAGTTTCTCTTTGAAGTCTAGTCCTGAAGTTTTTTTGCTGCAGGATGGCTACTTTTAGATCTACATATGGCATAATATATGCCATCATGTGCCAACAATGCCCCACTGCTATATACATCAGCCAAACTGGACAGTCCCTACGTAAAATAATCAATGGACACAAATCTGATATTAGGAATGGCAACATACAAAAACCTCTAGGGGAACACTTCAATCTTCCTGGACACACAGTTGCAGATCTAAAAGTAGCCATCCTGCAGCAAAAAAACTTCAGGACCAGACTTCAAAGGGTAGGATAGGAAAGAGGCCCTTGTGGACAAATTTAGGCTAGTGTAGATAAGCATGTGAAGTCCATGACCTCCCTGGTGGCAGTCTCTGAAATGAACACCACAGAAACTTGGTGGAATGGAGATAATCAATGGGACCCAGTAATACTAGGGTACAAAATATATGGGAAGGACGGAACAGTTCATGTGGATGGGGGGGGAGTGGCATTATATGTGAAAGCATAGTATTGAATGAAAATGTTAAATGAACCAAATAGTACCGTAAAATCTCTATGAACAGTATTTCCGTGCTCGAATAAGAATATAGCAATGAGGATACATTACTGATCACCTGAATAGTGATTGCAAAATGCACAAGGAGAACAGAAAGGTTATATAAATTAAAAAGAAAAAAAACAAAAACCCCAAAGTAATGAGGGATTTCAGCTATCCCCATATTGACTGGGCATATGTCACAGCAGGACTGTATGCAGAGATTAAGCTTCTTGATAATTTAAATGATTGTTTCTTGTGAAAGCTGATTCTAGAACCCACAAGAGAAAAGGCAATTCTTGATTTAGTCTTAAGCAGAGCACAGGATCCGGTCTGAGATGAATATAGTTGAACTGCTTGGTAATAGTGGCCATAATATAATTTAACTTAGTATCCCTGTGATGTGGAATACATCACAGCAGCCCAACGCTATAGAACTTAATTTCAGGAAGGGGAATTACATAAAAATGAGGAAATTAAACAGATTTTAAAAGATAAAATGCCTAAAGTAAAGTAAAATCCCTGCATGCTGCCCAGAAACTTTTTAAAGACACCATAATATAGGCTCAAGTTAAATGTATACCTCAAATTTCCCCCCTAAACTTAGAAAAGTGCCACCATGGCTAAATAAAGAAAGTAAAAGCAGCAATGAGAGGCAAAAAAGCATCCTTTAAGAAGTGGACATTAAATCCTAGTGAGGGAAATAGAAAGGAGCCTAAACTTTGGCAAGTGAAGTGTGAATATATAATTAGGAAGGCAAAAAAGGAAATTGAACAGCTAGCCAAAAACTCAAGAAATAATAACAAATATTTAAAGTCAAAAGCAGGAAGCTTGCTAAAACAACCAGTAGGACCATTGGATGGTCAAGATGTTAAAGGAGCATTCAAAAACGATAAGGCCATTGAAGAGAAATGAAATGAATTCTTTAATCTAGTTTTCGTGGCAAAGAGAGGGAGATGACCAAATATGAGGAATTGTCCCAGATTGAGGTGTGTGTTAGGGAGGTTTTAGAACAATTTGAGAAGTTAAACAGCATTAAGTCACTAGGACTAGATGGTATTCATAGAAGGAACTCAAATGTGAAATTGTAAAACTACTGATTCTGGTCTATAATCTATAATTTAAATAAGATTTTGTAAAAAATGAATGGAGAGTATAGCTAATGTGATGCCAGTTTTTAAAAATGGCTCCTGAGGTGATCCCAGAAGGCTTGTGAGCCTGACTATACCAGGCAAACTAGTTAAAACTGTCAGACACATACATGAACATAATTTGTTGGGGAAGAGTCAACATGGTTTTCATAAAAGGAAATCTTGCCTCACTAATATTCTAGAATTCTTTGGGGAAGGGGGAGGTGGGTCAAGAAGCATGCAGACAAGGGTATTCAGCATAGTTAAATTTTCAGAAGGCCTTTGACAAAGTCCCTCAACAAAGACTTTTGGGCTGACCAAGTATGAAAGTTTTTTTGTGTTCTTAATTGTCTGATATTAAACAGCTAATGTAATTTTATGTACGTTTCAACCCAGTTTAGCCTTCCAAGTATTAAGATCCAAAATCCTTATTGATGTATACAGTTAAGCACAGCACAGACATGACAAGTTTTGTTTAAATTTTCATTTTAATGCATTTGTTTTGAAGACTCTACTGGAGACAGCCAATCAAGAAGCAGAACACTTTCCAGGAGAGGAGGTAAGGCAACAAAGAACAAGTGATATGGATAGAGCAAATAAATTTGCTGCCTCCAAGGGAATCAAACCTTCTCAACTGACTGTTCATATAAATTCAACTTTTAGTGCACATTTTCCCATGTGTTAGAGATTGCAGCCTTTTGACTCTTAAGTCTGAGACCAAGCATGTGCTCTTCCTGAGGGCTCGTAGAGCAGACTGGGCCCAGCTGTCCGTCAGAACCTTCTTATTATCCGGGGCTGAGAGAGGGAACTCCAGTGTCTGTCTTGGAATGCTTTTTTCTAACCTTAATGGAGTTATGTAGATGGATATGCATATAATAGTGTGGTTGGGTTTAACATGGGATAGCATCTGAGTGGGTAATTTTTTTTATAGTCACTCTTTTTGGCTTTATTTTGACAGGAGGATTTGTTTTTTGAGTATTTGCTCATGTTCATTCAATGTAGGTGTGTGTGCTCACCACATACGCTGGTGCTGTAAGGTTTTTCTTTAATAGTATCCATAGGGGGAATCAGGTCAGGTGCCCACTGAAGTGCTGCTCAAATGCTGTGCTATATAGGGCGCCTCCAGGCTTCCTTTGCCCTCAGATCCTTGCCGCCAGTGATAATGCTTAGAACTTGCTCTCCTTAGCATTTTCTTTTGCTCCCTCTTCCAGTTTGTTGGACTCTATTTTCCCTATAAATAGTTCTTATTTGTTAGTTGACTGTTATCTATTAGATAGTCATAGGTCCTGTAGGGAGTTAGCCTCAAGTTGGGGCACGCCCTGGTACCCGGGTTTCAAGTCCTGTTGTAGTTGTGATTGGCCCATGCTAGTTGTCACAGTGGGGGTCGCTAATCTGGGGTGCTGAGGAGAGGTGCACATTAGTGATATGTACCACATTTGCAAATCATTTAAGCCTCACACCAAAAAGGGGAGAGATGTGCATCTCAAAACTCTCCCAATGGAATCTGCCTTAGCTCTGGTTCATGACCAGTCAGACTCCAGGTGTGGTTGATGCTGGAGGCCTTGCCAGTGGCCCAGGACATCATGTTGATGCTGGTGCTTCCCTCGCCTGTAATTGTGGGATGGTTCCATAAAGGGAAGCCTACCATAGCACTGCCTCTATCACTGCAGAGACCTCACTCCCTCTTGCAGGATGTCTTAAGGTCTCCCGTCCATGTGGACAAGGACTGCAGCGCTTGAAGCCCCATTTGGTTCCTTGAAGGATCCAGGGCCATAGAGGACTTGAGGCAAGGTTCTCTGGGAGTTAGGCGCAGATCCCCAAAGGCATGCCCTCCTGGTATAGATGGTAAACCTGGGACCGATACTCACCAGGATTGTGAGGAACAGGTTGCTGGCTCCCTGGCACTGCTCCCCATGTCAGTACTGCTCCCCTGCAGTGGGTCCATGAGGAGCACAGGGGTAGGTGGTACCACTCTGCTTCGTGGCACCTCTCTTTGGGCAATTAGCACTGTTCCAACAGCCACTCTTGTGTACTTTACCAGTAGCCAGTCACCAGAAGAACGGCCATACTGGGTCAGACCAGAGGTCCATCTAGCGCAGTATTCTGTCTGCCAACAGTGGCCAATATCAGATGCCACAGAGGGAGGGAACATAACAGGTAATCCTCAGGTGATGCCTCTCCTGTCATCCATTTCCAGACAGATTCATAGACGTTAGGTCCATCAATGGCTATTAGCCAGAATGGGTAGGAATGGTGTCCTAGCCATTCTATCTAGGTCTTTTTTTTTTTTTTTAACCTTGTTAAAGTCTTAGTCTTCACCACATCCTCTAGCAAGGAGTTCCACACGTTGACTGTGCCTGAGTGAAAGAAAACATCCTTTTGTTTGTTTTGAACCTGCTGTCTATTAATTTCCTTTGGTGACTACTAGTTCTTATATTGTGGGAATAAGTAAATAACTTTTCCTTATTCCCCTTTTCCACACCAGTCATTTTTTTATAGACCTCTGTCATATCTACCTTAGTCTTCTCTTGTCTAAGCTGAAAAGTCAGTCTGTCTTAATCTCTCTTCATATAGGACCCGTTCCAAACTCCTCATCATTTTTGTTGCCCTTTTCTGATCCTTTTCCAATGCCAGTATATCTTTTTGAGATGAGACAACCGCATCTAAATAGTATTCAAGATGTGGGTGTACCATGGTTTTATATAGAGGCAATAAAATATTCTGTCTTATTCTCTATCCCTTTTTTAATGACTCTTAACGTTTTGGCTGCTGCATGCTGAGTGGATGTTTTCAGAGAACTATCCACAATGATGCCAAGATCTTTCTCTTTAGTAACTGTAGCCAAATTAGCCCCCATCATATCGTATGTATAATTGGGATTATTTTTTTTAATGAGAATTACTTTATATTTATCAACGTTAAATTTCATTTGCCATTTTGTAACCCAGTCGCTTAGTTTGGAGAGATCTTTTTGAAGTCCTTCATAGTTTGCTTTGATCTTAACTATCTTGAGGTGTTTGGTATCATCTGCAAATTTTGCCACCTCACTGTTTTCCCCTTTCTGTAGATCATTTATAAATAAGTTGAATAGGATTGCTCCCAGGACAGACCCTTGGGGTGGGGACCCCACTAATTACCTTTTCTACACTCAGAAAACTTACCATTTATTCCTACCCTTGGTTTCCTGTCTAACTAGTTCTCAGTTCATGTAAGGACCTTCCATCTTATCCCATGACAATTTAATTTACTTAAGAACCTTTGGTGAGAGACCTAGCTAAAGGCTTTCTGCAAATCTAAGTATACTATATCCACTGGATCCCCCTTATCAACATGTTTGTTGATCCCCCTCAAAACTCATAGATTAGTAAGGCATGAATTCCCTTTACAGAAACTATGTTGATGTTCTCTCATCAAGTTATGTTCATCTGTGTGTCTGGCAATTTTATTCTTTATTATTGTTTCATCTAATTTGCCCGGTACTGATGTTAAATTTACTAGTCTGTAATGGCCAGGATCACCTCTAGAGTCTTTTTTTAAATATTGGGGTCACATTAGCTATCATTAGGTACAGAAGCTGATCTAAAGGATTGGTTACAAACCATAGTTAATAGAGAATGCCACTGGTCCCAGTCACTTGTTACTGTTAAGTTTATCAATTAATTCCAAATTCTCCTCTAATGACACTTAATCTGTGACAATTCCTCAGATGTGTCACCTACAAAGGACGGGTCAGGTTTGGGAATCTCCATAACATCCTCAGCTGTAAAGACTGAAGCAAAGAATTCATTTAGCTTCTCTGCAATTACTTTATCATCTTTGAGTGCTCCTTTAGCATCTCAATCATCCAGGGGCCCCACTGGTTGTTTAGAAGGCTTTCTGCTTCTGATGTACTTTTACTTTTTGAGTTGTTGGCTAGCTGTTCTTCAAACTTCTCCCTAGTTTTATTATATTTTTACACTTAATTAGACGTGTATGCGCCTTTCTGTTTTCCTCCCTAGGAATGGTCTCCCAGTGGTCATTTTCCAGGGGACCATTCACACCACTCCTCTGTCCTGCATGTCGGAATCTTTTGACGGGTGCTTGGTACCATAGATGTCCTTCTTGGTTTCCTGGCATCGCGCACACTGTCAGCTTTCCTCAGGCACTCCTATCTATGGCTTGGGTACTGCAGATGGATTCCCAGACAGCTTAGTGGCTGCAGACCTGGTTGTCCCAATGGTACCCATGGAATCCTTGGAGGTTCTTTGTGCCATCCCACGTACCATGCTTGGTAGCTGGCACGTCAGTTGTACTGTCTGCTGTATTTGCTACACTCCCTCCAGCTGCAGGTGTCGCTCAAGCTTCATCCCTCAGGTGGAATGTGATTTGGAGGTCCAGACCTTTGCCTCCCCAGGTCCTGCAGAGGCCCTCCCAGCACAGGCTTCCTCCTTCTCCTCTCCCAATGAAGCCATTGTGGAGGGCCCCTCTGATGGTTCCCCAGGGTGATGCACAGGCTCATAGGAGTTTAAGGGGGTGGCCATGAACTTGAATTGCCAGGTGGCAGAGCTGGAAGAATCAGAAGAGATCTTCTTTGGGGTCCTGGGACAGGCAGTTCCACCCAAGGTGGCCTTACTCCCTCCATGAGTTACTTTTATTCTTACCCTACTCCAAGTTCCCTGGTGGTGAAGACTATCAACTGCCATGAATGGCAAGATCAGTGGGCAGCCCCAAAAAATAGACTCTAAGAGACTCAACTTATTTTTGCATTAATCTTCCAGCCTTCAACTCCAGATAGGTTATGAGGGCCTACTCATTGCTGCTACAGTGTTAACATGTGGCAGACTATAGTAAAGTTTGAGCCTTGTCTTTCAGAGGAGTTGAAGGAGTTTCAGGCCATGGTGGAAGAAGGCATCCTGACAGCTGGGGCAGCACTCCAGGCTGCTTCAAACATGGCATACATTGCAGCCTGTATATAGCGTAAATGGTATCGGTGAAGAGGGTTTCCTGGTTGCTCTTATTGGGACTCTCTGTTGCAGCCCAGTAGTCCATGCCGGACTGCCTGTCTGATGGTGCATCCCTATTTTGTGGAGCTGACAAACAAAGTTGCATGGCTTGAAAGATTTCTGCACTGCCCTCTGCACGGTGGGGTTATACATTTTTGGATACTGCTTGAAAAATTAAGCCTCAGGGTCTCTTCGCTAAGCCTTCCCAATCCAGATAGGATACTGAGCAGGACAAATATACCAGGTTCAGGAAGAGACAGTCCAAGCAACCTCAGTCTTCATCTCAGTCTGGCTCCACCTGCCCCATGACCATGTTCAAACTCCCTTTCGAGGGTGCGCTTAAGGATGATATACATGTTGGACCACCGGATCTTTGCCACGTGGCTTGTTTTTTTTTCTCCTACTGTTTGCACCCCCTCTTCACTTCTTGGTGTTTCGTAGCTACAGACCACAAGATTCTCATTCCAGTGTGGCAGGGCTGTAACACTGCAGCTCACTTCTAATCTTCCCTCCCATCCCCTTTCCATTCTTTAGGGACTCATCGCACAACACTGCTCATGCAGGAAACCAGAAGGTTACTACAAATTTTGGGAAGGATGAGGGTGGAATTTCCAGGGGTTTTATTCCTGCTTTTTTTGATCCTCAAAGCCGAAGGAGGGCTGTGACTCATTGAGGAGCTTTGCGACTTGAACCACTATCTGGAGAGGCTCAAATTTCCATATGATTTTCCTGACCTCCATTGAACCTCTTTGCTTGCCAAGCAGAACAATGTCTATAGCAGAAGCTTTAGTAGTAGGTGGGTGTGGACGTCTCTCTGACAGACTTGCATTTATTTGGTGGTCTCGTGTCCTGTTTACCATGTTCTCTTCCCCTTCTCTCCCCCCCTCCCCCCCCAGGGATATTTGTTTTCAAGAGTACACTGACTCCCTAGGCTTCACTGTCAGTCCCAGCTCCAATATCAACCAAAACTGGCAAGAAGATGCTTTCAAGCTATAGAGGTCATGAGGAGTTGGAGGAATAGATTGCAAATAAAGAGTAGTTGTGTATCTTAATCCATAAATCAGCAAGTGCAGTGTGGAAGGAATACTCCAAGGTCTTAAGTCCTTCCACTTGTATACCTCTAGGTAGCTTTTCACTTGTGTTGTCTTGTGAACTATGATTGCTTCAGAATAGCTTTTCTATAAATTTGCTTTAATATAAAGCGTAGCTTGCTGAAAACAACTTGAGTCTGAAATTTTGGGTAAGTCACTTAAAAATTGTTGTTCCTAAGTTTTCCCTGTTGTAAAGTTGGGATTCTGAATAATAGTGTGAGCTGAAATGCTAAATTGCAATTATTCTGTATAGCAGGTTTTCAAGAAGGGAACTGTTCAGAAAGATCTGGTACACAAAGAAGAGGTACAGGCGGTTTCAGAGGTGGTCGTGGAGGATTTGGACAAAGTCACAGTAAGTTGTTGTAAGGCTTACTGATTGTGCTATTTGTGGAACAAAAATTCTGTTAGATCGCTTTCCCAAAAATTTATAGGAATAAGTGAAAGAGATAGCTTTATGATTTGATCTTTGTACTTCAGAAGTAGACGGAAACTTAAAATGTGTGTTAAGTGGCTCCTGATATTGCGGAGTGGGAAGTTTTTGGAAATAATATAACCTGATGGGATTGCCAGTTACGTATTTTTAGTTAATTGTGCTGAAGTTGCTAATTGAGGCTTGAACACTTAGGCTTTGTAACACTTGCTGATTACTTTTGGTATGAATTACTACAGTTAACGAAAATGAGCAACAAGAGCAGCAGTCTGGTAGCATCTTTATCTCTAGGAGAGGAGGATTTGGTGGTCCTACAGGTAAGATTATACTTTTACAAAAAGTTACTGAAATCATTTTTTAGGATTTCTTTGGATCTTCTTGCTCCTTGACTCATTCCCTTCCACTTAAACCCTGAGCATTCTTTGCCCAACTGTTGTATTAATTTAGGTTTGTTTTGTATGAGTGGAGAGAGAAACTAACTGACATGGGAGGGCTCTGCAAAACTTTTAGTCGTTGCTCTTTTTTAAGAGAAAAGCAGGTTATCTGCTATTGGGGTAGCACATGGAGGAACCAAGTTAAATAATTGTTTTGTTGTTGCTGACCTGATATGCGTGCATAATTATGTGTATACTCCCAGCCTTGCTGCTTTAAATTTTTAAGATCTATTAATGCATCAGTGGAGTGGTCATGTCTGCTATCTACAGCCCAAATTAGCAGGTTGGGTTCATTTAATTTACCCATCACTTCCTAAGAACTGACACACCTCTTCCCTAATCTTTGTTTTAGAATTAGTATTTTAAATTTGTGGTTCCTCCAGAGAATCAGTATTTCAGATCTTGAAATTATATGTGGCAGCTAACTTAATTTTTCAGAATGTCCAGCAGGGCCTAACAGTTGGTTGTGGTGCATATCTGAGTTGATAATCTGATATTTTATTATGAGACAATAGATAATTATTTAGTTTGCTGTTTAGTGGAGTTGTTAAACGCTTTAAAAAATGCAAGATTAAAGAGTCATGATCTATTTCAGTTCTAATAGCACTTTAAAAAAAATAGAACAGCATTGATTTAATAATTTTGGATGTTTACTACATTAGAAAATATATAAATTTGCAACACAGTACAATGGTCACTTTATATTTTACACTGTAACAAGAAAAAGTTGACTCATGAAAGGGCTGTGGCTTGGTATGCTCATGAAACTGACAATGACCTCTCCCTGGCCTCTACCCAACCGGACCTGCTGTCTCAAGATCATGGAACGCCGCAAGGTTGTGGTGCAGGAGTCTACCACCTCTTGGTTGTGTTGCTCTATGGCTGTGTTTGGAAGAGTAGACCTGCTCCGAGGAGGTCCAGCATGTCCTGTGAAGTAGGAAGTCTGACTTACCTGGACAAGGTTTTCCCGATGGGAGTCCAAGCATGGCATCTTTCCCTGGCATTCTTCTGTGCAGTCCATCTGAGATGATCTGCACTCGGGCTCTGGGGCCTGATGCACTCCTATATCCAAGTTTCACCTCCCAATGCAGGGCCAGACTGTGTTTTCTAATAACACATGGGTCAGATTCTTGAGACTCTTCCCAGGGATGCAGATCCCTGTGCTTCCTCGGTCCTCTGTAGACTCACTGGGCCACCTTTTCAGCTGCTCAGCTCCTGCTTCCTTTCCCACTTAAGAAAAGTTGCCTTCCTGGTAGTGGTGATGTTGGCAAGATTAATATCTGAGATTAAAGCTTTAACGTCAGATAACTGTCGTATACAGCCTTTTTGTAAGGACAAGGTGCATCTATGATCCCACCCATCCTTCCTGCCATAGGTAGTGGTTACTTTTTCCATATGAATAGGATATTTCAGTCCTTTCCCTTCCCTTTTCTTTCTCCAAACCACACTAGACCAGTGAAGAGAGTCATTTTCATGTTCTAGCTTTGGCCTTTTTATCTAGAAGGTACCAAGCCTTTCTGTAAGTATCAACTCAGTTCTTCATCCTATCCACTGTAGTGATAAAGGGCCTTCTGTTTTTCCTCACAGTGTATTTCCAACTAGTTCTTCTTTGAGTAGTGTCCGCGTGGGTGCTCCACTCTAGGTGAAGGGTCTCCCTGAGCCGCAGATCGGAGCTTTGCAAAGCAGCTTCCCCCCTGTTGAGCCACGCATGCTCAGAAGGCGTCTCGAGCCCTTCCCGCCCTCTGCAGCGCGCGGCTCAACCCCCTCCCTTTCAGTTCCTCTTTAACCGCCCTCGTCAGTGGACGGAGCGAGCAGGAGCTCCCTCGCAGTCTCTCAGACTGTAATTTCCATTAGTTAGGTTACCACAGTTTTTCCCTTGTTACTCCAAGTTAGTTTCCCTTGTTTTTTCTCTTTAAAATAATAAAATATTTTTATATAAGAAGAACGAAACTGACAAAATTCCCCCTCAGGGACTAAAACTCGCTTCAGACTGGAGCCCCGGTGAACCGGTGCGCGCTCTCTTGGCTCCTCAGCTAAAAAAAAAAAGAAAATATAAACCACATGAAAGGAAAGGACTATAACAACAGTCACAAATAAATAAAACACTGAAAATACCAACAGTTTAAAGAAACAAGAAGCTCCCGAAATGTGTCTGCCTCCTCAGGCTTTAAAAAATGCGAGCAGTGCCGCGAGCCTATGCAGGCTTCTGATGGGCATACAAAATGTATTCGGTGCTTGGGGGAAACTCACTCACCCCACAGCTGCACAGATTGTGCTTCCCTCATGGCGAGAGCTAGAAAGGACAGAGAGCTCCGCCTGAGGATGATTTTGTTTGAAAAGGCTCTGCGGCCTACAGAGCCGGGGGAACGGCAGCATGAAACCCCCTGCTACCAAAAGCTACAAGGCAGAGAGCCTCACCGTCACACTCTCTCCTGCCTTCTTCCTCCCCTAAGACCCAGGGAGAGGGGCAAAGAAGTCCGAGGACCCCTGCTAATAAAGCAGAGGGAAAATCCTCGTGTTCAGCACCGGAACCGGTGCGCGCTGCCTCTGAGCCGTCCCGGGAACGCGCTGACAACCCAGGGTGGAAAGAAAAGCCGGCGCTGCTTCAAGCCCTGGCACCGCAAAAAACTCCGGCGCCGCTTAAAGGGACGGCGCCGCTCAAATGCTCCGCACCGCAGCAGAAGAGACCCCATACACAGCCGGCACCGGCTGCCCCCCCAAACCCGAGCTCTGCACCGGCGCTGGCAGCAGGCAGCTAGAAGCACCTTCATG